AAGTTCCTAAGTGACCTTTGCGTTTCACGAAAACATCGTCAGGTAATCTGACATGGCCAATCGTTGATGCCTTAGGGCGAAATCCAGCCATTTTCGCAAATTCCTTTCATTGCGGTCACTGATCTTAGATAATGCTGAATGAGATTAAAATTTGCTTTATTTAACATCCTTGACGTCAAACCATTGTTTTGCTGTAAACCCTTTAAACTACTATTTGTGATTTTCGTAAGGTGCTAAGACAGTCATTAGACAAAGTTATTAATTATAAACACAAAAGGATTGATTATTGGGATAACAATAAAATGATTCATTATGCAAATCTCTTTACTATCGACAAGGATGCTTAGTTGCATGGATGTAAATTAATAATGGTGTAGTAATCACTAAATCACAAACAATAAAAATAACAGGAATTTTAAAGGCAGAAAGTGAAGAATAATGGAAACGAAGTTAATAACAATAAAATTCATCCAATATTTGTAATAAAATACGGAAAAATAAAGGTGTAATCTGTCTGTAACTGAAAATTCAAATCCGGGAACTTTGTTTTGTAATCATTAAAACTTTTCTCGAAATTCAATTCATCTTGGGCTGATTGGTGGCGAATGTCGATGATGTTGATGCCGCACCATCGGCAAATGACATACGACTGAGATTGTATTGAAGCTCGGCGATATGCAAATTATTTAACTCCAACTAAAATATTACGGATATACTCTTCAATTTATCAGCAATATCAAATTTCTACTACAGCTATCAAAAAACATGCCTGCCACTTCTTATTTTCGATAAAGTTCGATTTCGCTAAGCACATTTCCTTCATTCTGCAGGATTGATAAAAACATTGCAACAAAAATTCAACTAACATTATGGATTTGGTTTTCTGGATTTCCAGATGGTGTATAGTTCAAGTTAGAAAGCGATGCTGGAAATGATAGAAATGACGGGGTTTCAGAAATCGGTTCAATTGGATTTACACAATGTAAGAAAGATCGGCCAGTACTGCTCGGAGCTGATAATGCATGTGTAATAGAAATGAAAATCTTCCGAGAATTTAGAAAAACTATTTCGAAAACTACACTAATTAGTGTGAAATCTACAACTTAAATCGATTGGTTCCTGGAAGTTTTTGGAATTCAAAAGTTTTGAATGAATCAAATGAACACAAATGCTTGTTAATGCATTTTTTTTCGCCAAATTTCACCTGTTTCAAGTGGATATGAATTGTAACTGTCGGTAACTGAAGCTGAGGAGTTGTATGGATAAATGAAATGGTAATTACTGCGCTCGTCACACTTTGGAGCATCAACTTTCGCATGATCCTGCAAGAATTATCAATTTTTAGATTATTGCTTTCTGGATTTTAGACATATTTTACGAGGTGATTTCGATTTTCAGTGACTAACATTGCAATTTGAAATGCTAAACGGCAAATTCATCCTTTAAATCTTGAATTGAAAGTTACAATCACCAGAAATGCATAAAAATTAGGAAGAGATATCAAATAAATCAAAGTAGTAAAACTTCGAAGTAGAAAGCAAAACTGTCATACCACTTTGATGTCACTTGCTGTAGGGTAACAATTCCATGAACTGAAATCACTGCCAATCTCCACGACTGGAGATAATGAATAAAATTGGTTAGCAACATGTCCAGCATTGCAAGTAATAGATTCAGGTAAAGGATTAGAAGACGTAAGAAGTGGATTCAGAAGGAGACGATTGGACTCATTTGAAGTTACTGCATTTGTTATGGCATTTGAAGATGTTGTCATCGCGCTCTGCAGAAGTTCCTTTTTTTTTCTGCTCCAATATGTCTTCGTTGCCTACGATATAAACTGGAAATTTTTTAAAATTCCTCACCATTGCATCACAGTTTCTTTGCACAACTGAAGCTGTTGCTGTTGCTGCTGCTGCTGCTGCTGCTGTCGATGATGATGATGATGTCAATGGAACAGATGGCGAAATTATCGAAGCAAAATTGTTATTGGCATAGGGCTGATTATAATAAACTAGAATCATAAGAATTTATAAATTCTAATTTCAACTAAAATTTAAAACAGCAATAACAGTTTAAAATGTCTGACATAAGACAATCCTTACAATTGTCGCTTGTTGGATTTACGCCAAACTGAATACTTTCCTGATGGCTGCCTGAAATTCGAATCAATATTTTTGTTTCAAAATAAGTAGTAGATTTAACGGAAAAAGGTTTGAAGCTATGAAGTTTTGAAGCTATGAAGTTATACCTGAAGCAGTACTGTAGGTATTATCATTAGCGACAGCCAAAAATGCTGCAGCATGTTGAATTCGTCGCATAGCTTTGTGATCGGGACGTGATCGATGACAACCGAAACGTGTACCCGCAAATGAGCGTACCGTAAATGGACAGTTTTCTTTCGTGGTGTAACGGAAAAGACAAGGTGGTACCTATAAATACAGGGATATATTCGTAGCTTCTGTTTCAAAAAAGAAAACAGTTGAACTGATCATAACGCTTCTGTAATGTTCGATATGTGAGATCCACATTTATCCCACATTCTATCCTTTTTCTCATATTTTCACAATAACGTACGACGGTAATTTGTAAAAGAAACGTGAAATGGCTTTACGCCAGTTGCTGTTCTACGTGACGTAAATTCGAAAACTCATTTTACTTCTTTCATCATCTTTGTAAATTTAAAAATGTACCTCATTTTCGAAGAAAAAATCATTCCCAAGCAAATCGTAAGCACAGTCATTCATTGAGCTAATTAACTGCAATAGAATACATCGCTGCGATTTCAACTCTTTGTTTTTCGGACCAAAACAGAGAGGGTAATCTGGAAAACTTGAACTTTCATTCTTCTTTGTATTTTATCACCACCCAATCTAATTACCATCAGTGACCATAAAAGAATTCTGAATGGTCTGTTCATGGTCCAATGCATTGTCGAATTTGAAAAACAGGGAATTTACAGAATTCAAAAGGATAAATTTCAGGATGGATGTGTGCATTCTGTCGTATTAGTCACTATCACTGATAAACTCACTTGTTCTATCCAGATGGTGGCCATTGCTGTTTAGAACACTATACAGTACGCTCGGGGTTTCACAGAAAAATGCAATACCATCTGGTGTGGGCGTGTAATTTATATCAGCGTTAACATCTCCCATCCAAATAGTAATAATATGCGCATAGTTCACCACTTGGCAAAATACTTCCCAGGATTGCAACAAAGTAACATTGGTGCTTCAAGAAATAATACCTTTTATAGTTTAATAGTTTAAAAAACTAGAAATTTGTTAAAATTTAGATGAAATTAAAAGAAATGATATGCATGAAAGAAGCCGAACAAACATGGAAAACACGCTGAAAGATCTTCTTCAACAATTCCAATGCTTGTTGCGATTGCGGTAAAAATTCCATCCAAACAATCCCCCGTTTTGATCATCAATGTTCTCTCTTTCTCTCCTGCAAATACCAAAAGTTTAAAGTTGACTTTGTTTGACAGTCAATTATACGGGGAATCAATTCAAATTTAATTTTTGAATTGCAACGACTAATTACACTAACAGCACTCAATACATGCATCTCATCACCTTCTCTTGCAATTAGCCGGAAATAATTATATACTAATGGTTTATCTT